GTATCTTTTCTTCTAAAATTTAGGAGAAGTTATAAGATAGGAGAGGAGAAAGTTGACTAGCTAATCCACAATCTAAGAATACTTAATTTAAAAATGTTGGCGTCAATAAATGACTAAGAAGGCATCCATGACATATTCAAGCACGACAGCATGGTTATTAAAAAAAAAGTTGTTCAAATGTAGCATCCAAAGTTTGTAATATTGACTTCTAAATTCTAATATAAAATTGAATCATGGTATTTCAAGGAACTGACAAATAATAACATACGGGTTTTGTGTAAACTTTTGAAGAAAATACGTCATAGGGTATTATGATGTAATTAAGTTTAAATTACGACCATAAGTGTCATTAAGGGTATATTACTTCTACTTTTTCAAAAGTTGATTTTGACTTTTCAGAGGTCCCGTCAAACGGGCCCTAACAACAACCCCTACCCTAGTTATTGCAAGATAAGAAAGTGAAACAACTCCAATAGAACTTGTTATGTCCAAGTAATTGTTAAGAATTATGAATTGAATGTAATTGAGATAACCTAGGCATGTACAATATATTCATTTACTATTGCATTTATTTATGAATTTGTTAAGAAAAGAGAAGTGGTTCTGCACTGAAACTTCTTGATTAATATTTTCTTGTACTATATGATGACACAATTAGTCCTCACCAACTGAAACTGGTGTTAGTAATGAGAACAAAAAAACGTTATTTTTATTTTGTCCCCATAATCTTGTCCTAATGTGCACCGCCTGCGTACAAAAATTCCGTTCCTCGTATGACTCAACTGTCAACGTTTCCATTGGTTATCATTCTGAGATTCGGGGCATGTTCGGAAGAAATTAAAATTGAAAAATTAGCGATTATTTTTTTACTTTTATTAGACGAATGAGACCCAATAACAACTATATTTTCAATTTTAATTGAATTTTAAGTCTAACCAAACATGCTCTCAATTTTTAAGGACTTTACAATTTGTCGTGAAAAATGACAAAACACAATTCAACGCGAAACAAACTTCTTGGAATTGGACAAGAGAAAACTCGTTAGCCCTTAGGAAATGCAGTCGAAGCTGCCTTGCTTTGATTTGATTTTATACAATTCAAGGCTAAGATTGAGTCAAATCATGTTTTTAGATTAAAAAAAAGAATAAGTGAGTTTATTACTATTTAATTAATCTGTTTTACGTTGTAACCTTTTCCTT